CTTCCAGCACAAGGGTGGCACTGACACTGGCCCTGCTGCTTTCTGTCGTCTTTTCTGGCCGCATGCATCATCTCCTCGTCTGCTGGATTCGAACTGGCGCCGCTACTGCAGTCTCCTGTAATTTCGTTTTCCTGTTGTTCCTTTTTTTCTCATGCACGGAGTTTTACGTCGTTTTTTTATTGCTCCGTATGTCCACTCTGTATTTTACCTTCTGCCAGCGGAGAGAAAGCACCCTGTAACAAAGGAATTTTGTTGTGAGTGGAGGAATTGCGTACGGGGCACATATTATTATTCTCTATATTTCGTACATCTCGCGATATTTATTTTCACACCGTTTCCTGGTCCCTTACAATGTTTTATTCTTTATTCTTTTTTTTTCCCGCATTTATTTGCTTTCTTTCGCCTCACTCCGCATGAGCTCGAACCGCACTCTCGACTTTGCCTTTTTTTACTCTGGCGGTGTAGAATACTCTTCGCGAAACATATAGCAGTAGGCCTATACATGAAACCCATGACCGTAATCCTTTCGCTCGAGGGCTCCCGCCTGAAAGATTTTCATACACCACCGCGAAAGCGCGAAAAAGGAGGATTGCCTATCCCAGTTATGATTTACTTCTTTTCGCTTCTTTTTGTTGTCGCCACAGTGGAACCGTGCTTCCTTTTTTTGTGACTATAGTTTGTTTTCATACTGTGTATCCGTCCCGACAGCTTGGGCGAAGGAATGACGAGCCTCGCAAGTGAGCTATTGTGTTGGTCAACGGTGCGAGCTGAATGATCCGCGTATTTCCTCACTGAAAAAAGAGGCTGGGAAGTGAGAGTGATCCCAGGGCACTGGTTCGGGCGTTGCCTAAAAGCTTTTCCCCCGGGCAGTTCTTACCAGCTGCACGGGAACACCGAACACTCCAGCAGAGTACAGTGCATAATAAGCAGAAGAATATCTTACAGTGCAAGCAGCGCGCTCTCATTTGATGTCCAGAAATTGTTGACCGGTAGAGATCATTTAAACTGGCGAATCAAATCCAAAGGTTGCATATAGCTCTATGCTCATCTGAACAGTGGTTTTGAAGCCAGTTGTAATTACGGCGTAGGAAATGAGTGAGCTCGAGACAGTCGAGATACGTTTCAGAGGAGAGAGAGGAATTACGGCACGGGCTCATCACGCCAGGCCATCCTCTATTCAGCGCCAGTTTCAATGTTGTTTTTGACGCGGCCGTTGCCTCTGTCTGTTTTTCGTCTACTTCCTAGCTTTCTGGCTGCCCCCTCTTCACTCATTTCTGCAACGGTTTTTAGACCGGGACCCGCAAGCCTCCGCCAAAACGCGTGGACAAAATTGACCTGTCATGTTGAGAGTGTTGGACAGGATTGCAGGCAAGCCTCACAGATAGGTGGAATGCAGTGGTGCGGAGACCACCAGGTGCATACCCGGCGTTGTGAGCTGTTATCCTTTTCTCTGCGTCGTAATACTTGTCGTTTTTGTCTCTCATCTTTTGCATTTTGACACGTACTTCGTATTCCAACGAGAATGTCTCAGTCCCTTCCCGATACTCTTGGGTCCTTGGGGCTTCTGGACTGGATGATCGCCCCCTTCGTCCTCCACCTTCCCGACTCTGTCTCCATCCATGTCCTCGTTTCCCGCCTTCCCAGCCAGCGTCACATTTTGCTGCCCAGAACAGACAGAATGCCGTTCTGTCAGAAACGTTGAGGACTAGGGGTGAGATATGACAAGGCCAGGGCCTCGCCTAAACGGCTATAGCGGCTGTCAATACCTAAACGTTAGTATGTATGCAATATTGAGGCACGCCGCCGCGCGACGCGTGAGAGATGGGGTAACCGAGTTTCCAACTTGCAGCGCGCAATGGTCCTCATAGGGGTTTGTTCTGTTTTGGCGCATTGATGCTGCTCCCAAGCGTCTTAGGCTTAGGCGTACAGATAAAAAGCTACTACCAACACGAGTCCCACTCAGTGTTAATACCAAAGGAGACAGGGCGATCCGCCTCTTGCTGGGGCTGCGCCCCTGTGGTCATTAACCATCAAGCCGCTGACCCCCAGCAGCGAAGCGAGGAAAGGAGCTTGGCTCCGTAGTCAAGGATGGCTTGTTCTTGTCCGGCTTGTGTCCGCACAACGGAGTGGCTTTCTTTCCACTCTTCCCGTGGTGCGGTCGCTTCCTTTACTTCCCGAGTCTCCTTTTTCTGGGGCAGAGAAACAAATCGCTGGGCTCACTGGCGCGTCCTGGGTGTTGAAATGTCTCTCTTCGCTTCGCTCATTGTCCCATTTCATCGTCTAAAAAGAGCTTAGGTAGATGACGATCTTGGCCACATCTCCCCTGATTCGCGTCTTGTGTTAGAATTGCCTTTGTCACATCGAACATCTCCCTTTCAGCTGACAAGCACGAAAGCATCTCGACGCCGTCGTGCGGGCATTCTTTTTTTCTGTTTCGTTGCGGAAGATGTTGTTATTTGTGTGTTTCGCGCATCTTGTTTGAGCCTAGACAACCTATCGTCTGTCGTCAGCTCATGTAGACGGCATTCTGCTTACCGATTGACATGAGACCCTGAGTCGAAATCATTGGAGCGTCCTGTATTCTGTACACAGTATGCGTTAGCCCGTTGTTTACAAAGCTGTTGTCAACGGTTGTCAACGAAAGACGCAAAACGGCTCACTAAAATAGCTCGCCAAACTGTCAGTTCGAGGCCTAATTTGGGCTACACAGTGTTCTTTCCACGGAGGATCTTTGCAGCGGTCTGCTCCCGATCCCGTCCCACGGATTCGGTGCAAAGGTAATTCGTAGTGGGAGAGAACAGAGAGAAACGACAGAAAACAAAAAGAAAAGAGAAAAAGTCAACAAATTAAAACAAAGCAGAGAGCGACGGGGGCCGGGATTTTCCTTTTTGGCTAGTGCGGTCTGCAGCACCAAGACAAGTCGCACCCAGAAGAGTAAGGAACGACCTACAGCGCACGCTAGTGTTCAGGCAGCATGCAGTCTTGCGGTAGCAGTCACTCATTCTTGCCGAACTGGGAAGAATACCTGGTCTCTGATCCCACTATTCCTCCTCGGTGGTCGGGCCACCGCATTGAGCTGCAGGCCCGTAGGTTGGCTCGTTGGGATGCTGAACTACAGGCCTGCAAGCCAGCAAGCGAGCTGTCGCGCATTGCCCTCACAATCAAGGACATTCTGCGATCAGGTCTCTTCCAACGACTCACATTGGAGCCTGATGGCTGGCAAGGTCGCTCCTTCCTCTCGCGGATTCAAACATTCACACCAAAAATACGCTCACAAGGCTTTCATGGGCAAAACAAGCAGGTGCGCATCGCAGCACCGTGTGCCCCCACTCAGGCACGGAGTACTTGGCGGACCAGTCGTTCTTTCTCCTCACTACCCTTCAGTGCCCAGCCCAGGGCCCCAAAGCCACTTCCTCTTTTACGTATTACCCCATTTGGACTAGCCCTCTGCAGTTTCCTCTTTTCCTACTTTCCGCTTCGTTTTCAGGTGCTGGGACAGTCCTGGCTGCAACCCCTGTTTTGTTCCTTCTTTTTCTGCACGTCTTGGCTTGAGACTTTGGGACGCTCCTGCACCTTTCCTCGTCTGGTCGCAGCGTATCTTACGCATGGCGGCGCTGAGCATGCCATCGCTCTTTCCTCGGTTCCCTTCCCCGGTCGCCTCGCCTCGTCCTCACTCCACCCAACACCGCAGCCAATCCACACCCCTCCTCCGCTGCTCCTGCCTTCTTTTCGCTGCCACACCAGGCCCACCAAACCCGGACTAACGTCCTTTCCTGCATTCCTTGTACTTGTTCGCGCCCGCCCTTTTTTCTCCTCTTCTACGTCGTCGTCCCCAGATCAACTTCTTCCCTGTTTTTCTCGCTCACTTTTCTTGGATCTCGTCCTGAGGATCGCTCCGTCGACAACAAAAAAGACTGACATCTGCCAGCTCCGGGCGTGTCGACGACGACGACGACGACGACGACGACATCCTCGTCAAGGACGTCCTACTACGGCAATCTCTTCAAATACCCGCCTCGTCGCCTTTTGTTTGTTACCGAACGATGTGCATCGGATTTGGACAACTCAATTTACTACGAGAGTAATCTACTCAACCGATAAATACAAAAAGAACACGCCTAGACTCTAGTAGACGTCGAACTGATACCGGCATTGGACCTTCGAATCTTCGACTGACGACTGCGACTGTAAATTTGCTTGGACTTTGACCAACTCCGCCACACCGCATCCGTCACCCGACTTTTGTCGCACCCGGGGAGCTTTGCGTGGACGGATAGACAGTACAGACGAACTGCTGGCTGGGAAGGACGCCACGCAGACTTCATCGACTGCGTCTCACCAAGTCAACATAAGCGACCCTTTGATCCACATCGACGCGGTCTTCTGTCGACGTTCTACTTCGCTTCTGTTCGCCTTCGATTTACACCTCCACCACTTTAAATATTACTATCGTGCCGCCTCGTCTGCTTTCTCCTCGAACCCGACAACCACAGTCGCTTGCTTACGAAACAGGATTGTCGTCCCCAAACCCCAAACCCAAAACCCAAAACCCAGTTTTGGCTGTCCCCGAGACCGAAACACCAAGACAATATCTTTCTTCTCATTTTACCTGTCGTCCGCTGGTACACTCTGCTTTCTCGTCATTGGGCTTTTACTTTTATCCTTTCCCCCCACACCCCCCTTCCTCCTTGTCGTCCTTTCGGCTCAATTGTCCAACACGTTGGACCGGCTTTATTCGTCTCGTGTCTTTCCCAGGAAACATAACTTCGGGTCCATAAATACCGGTTGGTTCCTTATTTTGGGCTTGAGCGCATCCGTCCGAGATCGTTTCGCAACCACACTTGACGGATCCCATGTCGACCTGAGTTTTTCTGAATATCCTCAACCTGGCTTGAGCATCTTTTGAATCCCAGTCCGAATCACTCGGAGCAAAAGTACTGGAGAAACACACACAATACAGCCACCACCAAGAAAAACACATCAAAAACTCACCAAACGCCATGAGCTCTCCAGCGCAGGGTGGCCCTTCGGCCGCCCCCAAGGAGAAGAAAAGCGGCGTGAGCAGCCGTGTGTTGACTCGCATGAAGACGATCATGAAGAAGGCCGAAAAGCGCATGTCCATTTCGGGCCCCAGCAAGCCCGGCCCGTCTGTCGCCAAGCCTGCAGCCGAGCCGGTTCCCGTTGTCGCCCTGGCCCCTGCCGCCGCGCGCGATGCGGCACCGGCGGACAAAGGAAAGAAGCCGGCTGCTGAATACCCCGACGCCATCAAGGTCCCCCGCATGCAACTGCACGAGGAGCGCGCCCGTCGCCTCGGCGAGCGTTTCGGCCTCGAGATCAGGCCCAGCGAGTGGCACTCGACCGAGGGCGACGCCTTGCGTGTTAACAAGCCCATCCGCATGCGTGTGCACCGCACCTGCCACCAATGCAACACCGACTTCGGCGCTGCCAAGGAATGCACAAGCTGCAAGCACGTCCGCTGCAAGAAGTGCACGCGGTACCCGACCAAGCGCACCGACGCCGAGAAGCAGGCCGCCCGCGAGCGCCGTGCGGCTGTTCTGAAGGAGCAGAAGGAGAACGCGCCCATCATTGCCGACTGGGACACGACCCCCAAGCCGATGCAGCTCACCAAGCCGTCGAAGACGGGCGGCCAAGACCTCGTCTACAAGAAGCCTCGCCAGCGCCTGCGCCGCAACTGCTGCCAATGCACCGCGCTCTTTGTTTCGGGCAGCAAGACCTGCCCAGGGTGCAGTCACCTCCGTTGCACCGACTGCCCGAGAGACCCGTACGTTACTGACACTTTTACCTTTCTGCTACCATGTCTTGGCTTTTGTATATCTGCATACTAACAATCTGTAGACCCAAAAAGGACAAGTACCCATACGGCTACCCCGGCGACGAGTTCGGCACACGCTCCACCCCGCGCTTCCGCTGCCACCAGTGCAAGACACGATACCCCGCCGACGCCGTCGAGGGGACGGAGTGCACCAAGTGCGCCCACCCCCGTTGTGCCGATTGTCCTCGTCTGAAACCACAGCGTGTCGAACCCGAACCCGATCCGGAGATATTGAAGGCCATAGAAGCCCGACTGTCGAAACTGAAAGTGGGCTGATCCGGGCGGAAACCGCCTTGTTTTGTTCCACGAACCCACCTTACGCAACTCACGACCAGCGCACCATTTCTTTTGTCATTTTCTCCGAACGTCTCTTTGTATCCTTCCATGTACTTCTTTCGCTCAATCCCCCCAAACCGCCTATTACGTCCTCGATATGACCTTTCAAAGAGATGCAACACGACATTATAACCACTAGCAACTGCATGCCGTTGTAGTTTTCCGGATACAAACATGGAAGTGGGCTTGGGCTTGATGTGTTTATTCCAACACTTTCCCGTTTTCCTACTTGGGTGCTGGGAACAACGGAGAAAGGCACCGCGTATTTGACGATGCCGGTTGCCCATGTTTCGGATACCATTGGACGTGAACGTTTTTGCAGCATATGTATTGAGGATATCTCTCGAGTATTGCCTATACCTATTTCCTTGAGTCGCACTTTTAATTTCATCTCATAATTTTATGCTACGTCCTCGTATGTCTGGTCTGGTTTCATGTTCGAGCTCGCTCGCTGGCTCGCTCACGGCGGCGTTTGAATTTAAAAAGCATTGCTCCATTGGGTAACTGTGGACCAGAGTAAACTACATGTGCGAAGGGTTCGCTCCAAAGTCGCACTCGCAACCAATTCCCTTTCTTGACTGCAAAGTTTACCTTGTCAAGGGCTATGTTTTTCATGCGACCTGCCCGCCACGTCCTTCACTACATCTCGAAAGAACGGGTGTTGTCGTTTGTCGGGACGTAGATTGGAAAGGGGATTTGACCGAACCAGCCGGACGGAAGTTCTGGTTTTGTTGGACCTTATAGTTTCATTTGGGTGCCAAAGATGACGAAGAAACGCGAGTGGACCATGTCAAGGGCGTACCATGGGACAGGGCCGACGGTACTTCGTCTGAGAGGCGGAAAGGGTCGCGACTGGGATCCAACATGAAACAGCCGGGTCCGAACCAATCCCATCGCCATGCAAAGACAAATGACGATACCGCGGAAGGCCACGCCCGTTACCAGGAACGGAAGACATCAACGACAAGAAACAAGAGTCGAGACAGAAGATTTGAAATTGCTTATATTGGTTGGTTGGTTGGTATTCGGAGAACCATTCGAGACTCTAAATAGATGCAAACTGTACGAACCGCCGACGCCGGGTCGCCCCCCTTGGTAGCGAAAACACAAACACACGTGCTGTTTTCAAAATCCCTGCCCCTGTCCTGATCGGTCCGCTTAATACTGTTCCGTCACACCGGCGACCGGCGGCAGCGTCACACTGATCGCCTGCCCAATCGTGGCCGCCCGGTTGGCCCGCTCGCCCTGGTACATAAACCCGCCGACCTGCTGCCGCCGGTTCAGTGCCGACGCCATCATGCTAGAATCGTCGCCGGCCACCGGACCCGTAGGCTGCTGCTGTGCGACGCGCTGCAGGAATTCGCTGTTTTGCAGGTTGGCCGCCAGGCGCGTCGACGCGTAGAAGCGGCCGTGCACCTCGTTCTCATTGCGGCGGCTCTGGCGCTCGCGGAGCTGCCAGTACCACGTCAGGCCCGCGTTGGACGCGTGGGCCGTGCGGTTGTGGCTGTGGCTGTTGCGCTCGGCCAGTTCTTCGGCGAACACGGGCTCCGTGGGAAGGATGTGGCCCGTGGGGCCGTAGACCGGCGGCGGCGGCGGCGGCAGGCCGGGACCGGTCACGGCCAGGCGGTAGACGTCGCCGATAAAATGCACGTCGCCGTTGTTCTGAACAATCGTGTTCACGCGCATAATCTCCACGGACACCTTGCCGCTGTCCGCTGGTGCGCCGGCCACGGGCTTCACGCTGACGCGCAGCGCATCGCCAATGACGATTTGCTCCGCGCCCAGAAACACGCCGCCAAAGGGCTGCTCAGTCGGCGAGACACTGGGCAGGGGGTTGAACAGGGAGAAGCACGCGTTGATCTGGTTGGCCGCGGACTTGGAGGCTTCCAGTGCGAGAATCGCCGTGTCGTAGTGGCCGGGCTGTGGCGGCTGCTGCTGCTGCTGCTGCTGCTGCTGCTGAGCTTCCCAGGCCAGCTTCTGCCAATCAATCTGATCGTAGGACAGACCCTGCAATCCCTCCCGCATGCCCGGCACGCTGAAAGACAAAAAGGGGCGCAGCACGCTCGTTTCAAGAGTCAGCTCCGGCGGGTGGAGGCCGCGAATGCCGAGCGGCGCCACGCGCACCTTGCCCGCAGGGCCGGGCATGGCCGACGGCGGGGGCTCTGTGCCATCGCCTGCCGGGAAGAGCTGCAGTACAATGCCCAGACGCCAGGCGCCGCGAGACTGCTGCGTAAAGTGCTGGTACCACACCAGCTCCCAGGGGCGGAAGAGGCCGGAGCCGCCACCCACTGGACCGGGCAAGCGGGCAGGCTGTGCAGGTGCAGTTGCAGGTGCAGTTGCGAGTGACGCTGCGGGTGCGATGGTCGGTGGCGGAACGGGCGTGGCCGGCGCTGTTGTTGCCGGGCCCGTAGCAACAGCTGGCGACGCCGCTATCGGGATGACGGGGACGGGGACGGGGGTTTCGGTGGGCGGCCGTGGTGACGGTTTAGCGGGTTGGGGTGCTGCGGCACCAGGTGCCGCTGCAGAAGCAGCCGTTGAGGTAGCCGTCGAGGCGGCCGTCGAGGCCGCGGCTTCGCTCACCATTCGCACACACAGCCGACACGAGCAGTCGGCGCGCTCGTTGGAATCACTGAGCAGCCACAGCAAATGCAGAGCCAGCTCGGCCGGGCTGCGAAACGCGGCCAGGGGACCGAGTGGATGGCCAAACACAAAAGGCCCGTCGCGGTCTTTGGTCTTGCCGGGCCGCACGTGCAGCGAGTAGCCCGAGGGGAAACGCACGAGGTAGTTGTTGGGGTCTGCGCCGGACGACGACGACGAGGCGCCTCCCAGGTTGTACTTGATGGCCTTGCCCAGCTTCACAGTCCACGATCGCATAAATTCGTGGCTGTCGTCGAGGGCGTCGCTGACGGGCTGTGCCGAGCGGCTGGCGTCGTTGATCTGCTGCGTCGAGTAGCCCACACCGTCTGAGCGGGCGAGTAGAATTTCGCGGTACGGCTGGAGCGGGTGGCTGCTGCCGTTGCTCGTGCCGTGTGTGGATGATGACGCTGTCGATGTGGACGTGGCAGCTGATGCTTTTGATTTGGCTCCCGCTGCGGATGAAGAGGAGGCTGACTTGGCCATGGGAGTTGAGCCCAGTGTCGTGCCTTTTGTGGCAGGCCGGCCGACCCCCACCTTGGTTGCGGGTTTCGATGACATTGTGGGCGTAGATATGCTAAAGCGACGATGAGGTGAGGTAAAAGTGATGTGGAGGTGATGTACAGGTGACGAGAATATGAGGATGCCCAGTTGGCTCTGTGACCTAGACGGCCCACGCCACCACTCAACGGCGCCTGCACGTCACACTTCTGGTCAAAATTGAGCTATTATTGGGCTGGCTTGAGAGTCACGTCTGTTCGCGATGAATTGTCGCGGCAAACAGCCACGATGTAGTCGACGCGAAGAGCTGCTCTGAGCGAATGGCAGGCGGCGAGACGCGCTGTGGCCAGCAGGGCTACACGCTGTGGCGTTTCGTACAAGTGCAGGCGCAGGTGCATGGGACCCAACATCAACTCGTCCTGTCTTTTGTGGCTTGTGGCGTCGTCTGTTGTGAGGTTTGTACCTCGTAGGTGCCTTAATTATGCAGGTGTTGGTCTAAAACTGACTGGATCTTGAAATGGAACGATCGCCATGATTAGTCATCCATCCAAGTGCCCAAAATCAGGTCAAACCCCGTAGTGCTTTTCAATACTAGGCGACAAAGGACATAAAGAAAAATCCTCACGGATGCAAAATCATGTAAATTTAACATGTAGTTTATTTCTCCGCAGTACTCTCAACTGTACTTCATTCCGCGTTTCGTCAACTGCCAAAAGCTAAGGTATCTATTCGTTGTAGGGGGAAGGCATAATTAGGTGATATCGTTGTGGGCTCAAAGCAAGCTCCATCGACCAGAGAACGTAAATGAAAACATCAAAATGAAAACAAAATAAAGGGACGAAAGGCGTCGGCGTTCGTCTAGGTATCGTGGCCCCCCCTTCGCAGACGCCCAAGGAAACGTAAATTGGAAACGAAGAAAACAAGGGGAAAACGAAAACAACGACAACAAGCAAGGGCCAAAGAGGCAAACGCGCCGCGCAGGATGCGCTCACGGCTCCTCGCCCACGTCACCCGAGAAGATGTCCTCCACGCCCGTCCACGTGCCCTTGGCCCGCTCCTCCCAGTAACCGTCCTTGCCGCCCTTGAGCCGCCACACCTCGTCGCCGTCGGGTCCCGTGGCCACCTTGACGAACCACCGCGGCTTGTGCTGCTCCCCGCGTTCCTCCAGCTGCCGCCGCCGCGTCCGCTGCGCCTCCTCCAGCTTCGTCTTCCACGCTTCGGCGTCGTCCAGCTTGCCCTCCTCGGCCAGCCGCTGGTCCGGCCGCAGCCGGCAGTCGGTCGGCGCCAGCTTGCCCTTCTCCAGCGACGTGACCTCGTTGAGCGACGCGGCAAACTGCGTCAGACCATAGACGCGCGCAGCATCGTCCACCAAGGCACCCGCGCGCCAGATCTCGAGCCCGCCCGCTTTGTTGCGCGGGTCCACGACCCGCAGGCCCGACGTCCACGTACCTGTGAGAGCCAGCCCCGTGTGCGCGCCCGCCGGGTCGTACGTCTCGATCTGGACGTCTTCGCTGCGCCCGCCAAACATGCCCTTGGAGCGGAACTCCACGACGGCGCGCGCGCCGGTCGTATCGTTGACGACGTTCATGGTGCCCACAGGCTCGACGTACTTTTCGCCCATGACGACGTTGCGCAAGAACACCGTGGCCAGCGCCCACGAGTAGTGTTCTTCGCCGCCGCCGTACGGCAGCCGCAGCACGACACGGACGCGGCCTTCTGTAATGATCTCGGCGCTCTTGCCCCAGAACTTTTGCGAGGGCGCGGCGGCCTGCGAAAAGGACCAGGCGGGGGCGTCCGCCTGCATCGCGAGGCGCACGGGCCGGTGGCTGACCTTTTCGACCAGGACGCGCATGCCGCCGCCGGGCATCTCGCGTTCGGTGCGCAGCAGCTCAAATGTCTCGCCGAGCAGCGGGTTGAACGGCTTGCGGATGGCGCGCTCCTTTGCGCGGCCGCCCGAGAACTGCGACACGGCAAAGGCAGCCACGTACAGCAGGCGCTCTTCGGGCCGCGACTTGGCGGCAGCCTCGTTGAGCAGCTGCGCGTACTCGACCTGCTCGGCAATGCGCTGCAGCAGGGACGTCGGTTCGTTGGCAGACGCCGGCATCGAAATGGTCGACAAGTCTTTGCCGACGTTCTTGCGCACAAAGGCGATCAGACTCGGCGGCAGCACGGTCGACGGCGGTATCGTTTTGCGGCGTTGCACCGCTTCGGTCAGGGGCAGTGGTGCGAGCGACTTGGGCTTGGGCGGGAACAGGTTCTTGCCGTCGCTGCCGGTGCCGTTGCCCTCGCCCAGCCCGGTGTACTCTTCCTCGTCCTCCACCGAGGACACCGACGACTCGTCGCCGTCGCCGTGGGCAGACGCGTGCTCCTCGTCCATCTCAGAGCCGGGTGTGTCCTCGGCCTCGCTGTGGTTGTCGATGCGCAGCAACTGCGAGCGGTCTGCAGAGGTCGCGGCCTCGGCGGCATCAAAGAACTCGTCCGTGGTCGAGGTGGAGTCAAGGCTGTTGCGCGGCGCAGCAATGTTGGCCGCAACAGCCGATGTGGTGCGGCGGTGCTTGCTGTTGGAGAGCAGCTTCGTGAACTCGGACACGACCGAGTCCAGGTCACCCAACAGCGCCTGGCAGTGGTCTTCCATGTTGTGGCCCTCGTGCTTGGCGCCGTGCTTGGCGTTGTGGTGTGCTGGGGCGTTCGAGGCGGCGGACGGTGCCGGCACGGCCAGCGAGGACGCGACAGAGGAGCGGAAGTTTTGCGGGGCGAGCGGCGAGGCTGAGGACCGTCGCCGCCAGAACGGCCTACGCTCGGCGGCCCCTCCGGTGGGCGTGGATTGCTGAGAAGACAGATAGTCGTCGGGCTCTTCGGAGACGGGCGGCGTACTGGGCGACAGGAAATGCGACTTTTGCGCGGCGTGTACTGGTGGCTGGTGGCCCGCGGCGGCCATGTCCTTGACAAGTCGCCGGAGAGCGTCCCGCGTACCAACAACGCGGCTAACAAGCGCCTCGACCTGCTGCCACTCGCGCGTTTCCTCCTGGTACATGACCTTGGGGGCAACGTCGGCTGGCGGTTCGGAGCGGAGGTTGTGCGACGACACGGAGGCACCAGGAAGGCCCTGGACCTTCTCGAGGCCGCGGGCGATGCGACTCGAGCGCTCCAGTGCGCGTGCCCACTCGGTAAACTCCTTGTCGTTGGAAGCCTTGAGATGCCATACCTCGGCGCCCGAGTCGATTGTAATCTCGCGTCGGCGCTCGTCGGCAGCAATGGCCGCCAGGCTCAGAGGAATAGCACCACGCAGGGCCGAGGAGTTGCGGTTGTGGTAGTAGGAGAACGTGCAGGTGGCGTAGTCGAGTGAGAAGAAGCGGCGCGCATAGCCTTGGCCCTTTTTCCGGCGGCGCTTCAACAGGGTGCCGACGTGGTAGTTGGCGGAGGAGCCAGACGAGGCGGTCGACAGGCCTGGACGCGCACTGTTAGTGCCACTCCCACTCTTACTGCCGCCGCCGCCGCCGCCGCCGCCGCCACCACCACCGCTTCCGCGGCTGCCATTCGCAGCTTCGCCGCCTGAGCCAGGCGTCGATACCGCCGACGTAGCACCTGCTGCACTCCCGGCTGCAGCGGCCGAACCGTTGATCGCGTGATGGCTGCCGATGCTGTCCATGGACGGGGTCGGAATGGCGCCGAGGCGCGGACTGTTGTTCTTGCCGAGACTCGACCGGCTGATGCTGGCAGCGGGCCCGGCCTGGAGGTTGGGAAGATTGCGGGCACCCTGAGGCGGGGCGCCGACGGGGTAGGTCAGGAGGACAAACGTCGCGTTCTTGGAGGTCTGGCGCGAGAAGGTGTTGTCAAAGACGAGGCCAAACATGCCCCCGTTGCCGGCCTCGACGTCGTAGGTGCCCATGGAGACCTTGTCGGCGTCGCACTTGCCGTGCCAGTTGATGAGCTTGAAGCCCTTTTTGCGCAGCTGCTCGGGCGCGGTGCCGGCGTCCTTTCTGTTAAAAAGGCCCTGCTTCGCATCGGAGGTGCCATCGGGCAGGCTGTCGTCGAGGTCGGACTGGAAGGTGGTGAGGTTGGTGCCGCCAGTACCGGGATGCTTGACAATGCCAAAGTTTCTGCAAGAAGACAAAGGGGGAGTCAGCAGTTGCTCTAAGTGGACAAACATGCTTTGCCCGGGCAGGGACGTATGACGTACATGGACTTCTTGTGCGGCTGTACACTCCAGGAGATGGTGTGACCTTCGTCGACCTTCACCCATCGCACAATGTAAGACTGCAGAGACACATGTGTTAGCAGCTGCCAAGAGGGGTCGCACCGCCATGGTTGCGCCGTACCTTGCTGTGGATTTCGAGCTGCTCAATGCCGGCCATGGCGTCGAAATTGGGCGAGAGCAGAGGCTCTCAGGAAGGCCGTGGATGTTACCGACAGAAAACAGGCTCAAAGAAAAGGGGAAAAAAAGAAGAAAGTTTGGGAGACGAGAAACACGTCGCGCTCCGTCGTGATGTCGGCAAGGCGGGCAGGCGGGAAGAACGGGTAGAAAACGAGACGCAAAGCTTTCTCTAGCTGAGGTCCATCACGAACAGTCGCCAATCAGTGGAACCTTGTGTCTATGCTTGACGTTGCTGTTGGCGTCTTTGTCGGAAGCGGTCGGCGACGCAGTGGCGTTCGATGCCAAGCCTCGGCGGAACGTGGCCGGAAGGCGCGGAGTCGGGTGCCACAGGGTGAGACGCTGCCCGCAGATTGACGTTTGGCGTCGGCCTGTCGTCGTCGGTCGTGAGCGGAGGGAGAGGGAGCTTCGAGGGGACGTCTGGTGGTGCCGGCGATGTTGGTGATGTTGGAAAGTTTTGGATGTTTAAGTGGAATCGAGTTAGGGGGGTCCCTTCCCCTGGTGGACACAACCGGGACTGGACAAATGGACTAGAAAGGCAACAGCGAATACAGACACGTCTCGGCTGCGCGTGTGTGCGACAAGGAAGGTGGCAGGGGGACTGCGTAGCGAGTTTAGCGGCGAGTGGTTGATTCAGGGTTTCGACGGTTCCCTCCACAGGCCAGCCCTTTTAGGGGTTTTGGGTTCGTCTGTAGGGGCTGGGACAAACTTGGTGGCCGTTAGTGCGGGGCTTTCAGCGGCAGAATGCGCTACCGTAAGCCTAGAAATACGAACGGACGAGGGGCACGGAGACCACTTGCCAGCGCTGGACCAATGACAGGGCGCTGCTGGTTCTTGTGTCTCTCTGCTGACGTTGTGCCTGACAAGGGCTTTCGCCCAGCCACAGCGTATTTTGGGCAGCGCTAGGCATCCCAGGGTTCACACCATCAGGAGCCATCGCAAAACTTGTTTGGCGTTCAGGAGAAAGTCGAGAAGACAAAGGACAACAAAAGTGCCATTCGGCCCCGGCAGTTTCGGGAGGGAGGCATGTGGTCTCGTGGCCAAATGCCATTCCGGGACGTCATATGTCGCAGTCCTGTAGGATTTGGTCGGTTACACGGAGTGCCCCCAAAAATAGAAATGAAAAGGGACAAAAGAGAAGAAGAAAGGAAGACCCGGCCACAAGGCTGAAGATTCTCTGTGGCGAATGGAAATACGAGCTGCACGACATACGGCCTTGGCATCATCGGTCGAATCAAAACATGGGAGAAAGGACGGAATCGAAGGTTGTGGAGTGAAGGCTCACGGCATCACCATAAGCAGGGCACTTTGCTCCATTTCCGACGGTATTTGGCCTGCTTCCAGCAGGTAAACATCGGATCTGTAACATTTTGGTCTACGGCGAGAGACAAAGTTCAATGGTGTAGCACCAAGCGGCATATTTGGGTGTGTCGTTATTCATGGCCGGCATGGGACAGTACATCTCGGCATCGGCAGGAATATTCATGTGCGACAATTCAGTTCAGTACTTCGACCTCGTGCATCTCCATCTTAGCTAACAAAACATGTCGTGGTCGTACGTCGTCTTCCCGTCATCCCCGCTCGCCTGCTACTGCCCTTAAAACGTGCATTCCCGCAACTTGCCCGTCCGCCCGATCTCGTACTCGATCCACCGCGCCGCCCCCCGCCGGCCGGCCACCAGCAGGCTGCTCGGGTTCATGACATGGCAGCCCTCGTATGTCACGCAAAAAGGCGGTGCCGTGGTGTCGACCAGCACGAGCGCCGTGGGCAGCGGGTAGAGGTGCAGTGCGCTCGCAAAGTCCCAGTGCACGGGGCGCAGTGACTGCTTGAACGGCGCAAGGTAGCCCTGGTCGAGAATGGTCTTGACGAGCTTCCGTGCCGTCTGGACGTCGTAGGGGATACCAGAGGCGACGGGCTTGTTTTGCGCCTGGGCCTGGGCCTCTGCTGTGCCATCCACATCCATGTCGTCCTGGCTAGCCACTGCGGGCGCTGCGTCTGGTGCCTCTGGGACCTCAGGAGCAGCTGGCTTGGCCAACCGCACGGCCGTGCGCCGCAGCCGGCTGGACGTGTCGTCGCGGAACAGCACAATCTCGTGGTTGGGCCCAAACAGCGACAGCCGGCTTGGGTTGGTGGTCCACACGGCCTCGCCGCCGACCCGGTTGCTGCTCGCACCGACCACCTCAGCATTGGCCGTCGCAAACGCACGTCGGACGCGCGACGTAAACAGCTCCGGCACGGGCTTGCGCGGCAGCGGCACGGCGGCACCGCCGCTAAAGGCCGACACCCAGCCGTCGTTGTCGCCGGGCACAAACACAAAGGATGACGACTGCAGGAGCGTGGGGTAGTCGGAGAGGGCAGACGCCAACGCGTCAAAGTACTCCTTGTACTCGATGCTGCCGCCGCTGCCGCCGCCGGCCATGACCGCGTGCTCCACGAAATTGCCCGTCAGCACAAACGCCACCGGCGTAGCGCCCTCGGGTTCGGCGGCATACAAGCCCAGCACCTTACGCAAGGCCTGCAGCGTGCGCGGCTGATCGAGGTTGAGCTCGCCCAGGAGGACGACGCGTTGGCGACTGGGCGGAGGGGGACCGAGGTCTTCGTCATCGCTGTCAAGCCCTGCTTCTTCGTCGTGGTTCGTCCGAGTTGCTTCGGGCTCGTCAGCCTCGCCATCTTGCGAATCGGTTAATAAGCGCTGTTGTCGCAGTTGCAGTTGTTTTTGCTGCTGCTGCTGCTGACGCCGAAGACGAAGCTTCTGCTGCCGGTGTTGCTGGAGCTGGCGCTGCAAAAACCGCTGCTCGAGTTTGCGCATACGCGCCCCGACCGCACGGTGGCTGCCGACACCCATAAAGTCGATCCAGCCAAACCCGCCACCGATGGTGTGGTCCGTGCCGTTGACACCATCGACGCCATCGGGGCCACTTATGCCCAGGGCATCTCGCCGCGTCTCGCTCGGAGGCTGGCCAATGAGGAATGCCTGGAAGCGCCCGCCTATCGTACCGCCCACGCCCGTGGCACCATTAAGACCACGGCCCGCAGCCTCCTCCTCTTCTTCGTAGACACCGTCCACGAGCACAATCATGCCGGGCGTGAACCACGCCGAGTCCTCGGGAATGGCCACTGCGCTGGAGACGTCGAGTGTTATGGACGCCGTCAAATCACAGATGGACAGGTTGCCCGTCGGCAGAACGACAAGCATGCCGAGGAGCATGTGGTGCGTGCCGTGGCGACCCAAAAGGTTGGCCACGGGCGTAATTTTATGCGTAGCTCCAGAAACAGAGGAGCCTGACGGCTGCAGTGTAGACATCGCGCGGGCCTCGGCAACAGCCGAGCTCTGGAACATCTCGTTGCGGAGAAGGCGCTGGTGGATGACGTTGAAGCGGTTGCGGAATAGGCCGGTCTTATGGCTGGTACTTGGAAGGAGGGACGGCTTTGATGTTTCTCTGCAGCACGGTTAGAAGCTGTTGCCTGCTCGTCGTGTAGAAAGGAATGGTCACTCGCCTTTCAAAGTGCTTCTTTGCAACATTGTAGACCATTCGTGGTTGGTCATAGGCGCCCACAACCTTGAGCCACCGCCGTGGGTCGAGCAGGCCGTCGTCGTCGGCGTCCTCTTCGTCGTCCTCCACATCGAGCCTGCTCATGCCCAGGCTGGCTTGGCTGTCTTCTCTCGTCAAGAGCGGTTTGCCACCGCCGCCGACACCGCCGCCTACTGACGGCACAGTGGGCCTAAGACCGAGTCGTGTGTTGGTAATGTCGGACTCGCGGGTTGAGTCGAGCAGGAGGCTGTTCTGCCGCGGAATACCGCCACGCTGCGGACCATTGTTGCGGCTCTCTCGCACGCGGCTGATCGCGCTGCCGTTTCTCCCGGCAGCATCGACTGCACCTGCTTTGGCACCGGCCCCGCCTCCTGGGCCCCCCACCATAATCCGCCCGCCGCTCATGTTGCCTTCCAGCGTCTTCAGGATGTCCTTCAGCTCTGCACTGGCGCCGTCGACAATGAATCCGCAGTTTCGGTTCTTCCAGCCCTTGGCCGTCTCTTCCAGAACACGCTCGGCCAGCCCTTCCTCGCGCCAGCCGGAGCCGCAATGCCGCCCGATGAAGCTGGCCAGCTCTTGCAGCGCCGATGAGGTGAGTGTAAGGCTGTGTTTCTTGGTAAATGTCCGGAACGCCAGGGGCCGCAGGGTTGTAGGCGGCAAGAGGATAGGCAAGATGGTTGGACGGGCAGAGGCAGCCGGAACGCTCGTGGCCAACACGGCCGCCGCGGTCGACCGTGCCTCGCCGGGCACAAAGGGTCGCATGGGATGCAGGGGCGTGGCGAAGGCGGGGGACGACGAGAACGGGGCTTGTGACGAAGAAAGCATTGCGGGCGCCGACGGCGTGCTGGTAACGTCGCCCGAGCCACCGCCGGCACCTCCCCGGCCGGCAAAGAAGCTGTCAGCCAGAGGCTTGGACTGTCGCTGCTTGCGAGGACTCAGCTTGGCGGCGGCCGCCTCGGAGGACACGGCGTCGGCCGTCATACCGGGCGCTGCGTGTGAGTATCTGTACTGAAGAGGATGGGGATTTCGCTTGCATAGAGAGGGTGTCTTGTGTGTGTCGTGTGTATCGTGCGTGTCATTCGATTGTTGTGAGAGCAAGTAGACGACAATGGAGTCGAAGTGGGTTCATCGGCGTCAAAATGCCATCGTGGTGACCAGCCGTTGTCCTTTGCTCCTTCCTTGCCCTTCGCCAGTGTGCCTCCCGCTCCTGCCACTTAAGCGGTAGCTTTGGTGGGACGCGTCAAAACACGCGTTTTGGTGGGCAGAATGTCGCGTCGCTCTTTCCCTTGTCCGCTGCTTCGACGCAAAAAGCTATTGTGGGGCTTCACCGCCTGGCAGCCCACCAATCAACAGAAGCCTCTCTTTCCACGCCAGTGATTTTCATGACGACATAACTCGTTTGCGGTGGACAACTGCAGTCCGACAACAGCGTTTTGTGAGTTTCTGAGCACGGCGACACGTACAATGTTTGCGCAAAGGATAATGCAGAGGCAAAGGCCTGCGGCCTTTGGCCAGCTTTTCCGGCGCTCGTTCGGCAGCACCTTGTCGATCAATCCTCACATTGTAAGCGATACCAACGGCTTCAACGCAAGGATCGATCAATTGATATACGACGCAAGCTAAAGCCAACACCTCACCAGAAAGCCTTCCGCCTGGCCACTCTGCCGCCGTCGTATCTCCTCACCTACCTGGACACTCCTAGGCCGTCAGCGGTCACGGCCGTCGGCACGACCAGTGTGCTGCCTCCGACGCCGCGTTCATTTGTCGCCAATGACCGGTTCATGGACATTCTCAACGACGTGCTCCGCGAGAATGCAGCCCAGGACGATGGGCTCAGAGCACAGGCCGTTGCATTTGCTGCCCCAGGCGGCACCATTTTCAGCAATGCCGGCGCGAGCCACACCGGATCCAGCACCACCGTGCAGCAGGGCGGATCTGGCGGCGGCGGCGTTGGTGGCTGGGTGCACCTCAGCGATGTATGTTGTCTGGGATCTGTCCCCTAATAGGTGCCAATTGTTATCTTGTCTGACCACAGCTGCTTCTAGCTCCGTAATCCGCCAGACTTTGGCCGGATTGCATGGCCCGAAGACATATTTGGCAGCATCGAGGTGGACAGCACAGGCACTCTGCTCGACAACTTCCAGCCGTCGGGCAGCTACCGTATCCTCACGAACGAGGGCATGTAAGTCATCCTTATTGAACTATTGCTTAGTGGACGTGCGCACCGCTAAAATCAGTGACAGGCTCGGCCTCAGTGATTTCTTGAGGGAAAAGCTCGTCCAGCGCCTCGAGGAGGAAGACGAGAACGACACCAGCGACCGCCCGCAGATTTTGGACTGAGAATAAAAATAAATGAAACGGCCGACCGGCCAAGGCCCATTCCGCTCACAGCCTCGCTGTGTCATATCTGCAGGGTGATGTACATTAATAAAGTGCATACGTTGTATTTGTCAAGAGCTATCCGAAATACGACGTCGTCGCTCTTTACCCCTCCTACGCGTCGACTTCTCGCTTCATTTCTCTGTTTTGGGCAATATTCCGCTTGCCTATTCTCTCCCCACTCTATCCTTGTTTGTTCTGTTTATATTTTCTGTCTCGTATGCTGGTAATGCTGGGACCGGGTCAACCGTGCTGGGGCGACTGCGTTGATAGGCTTTTGCGTACATCTCCCCACCACTCCAAGTCCTTTCTCGCTCCGATAGCCGTCTACGGAGGGCGTGTTTTGCAGATGACTTGCCTGAGCGACGAATGGCATGCGAGAGACGGAGAGGGTGTGCTGCGCTTTAACAAAACAGCAGTGGGCACGATGACACAATGCACGCAATTCAGATACACTCGGGCAACGATGCAAAAGCATAGGATAGCATGCTCGCCGACCAGATGCCTGGGTAAATACAATACGACAGCCCCTGAGGAGAAAATCTCGTAGAGCGTCTCGGAGATGATACAAAGCGAATACAAGACGGCTCGCGTGAGAAGGGGCTGTTGCTATTGTGGCGAAAGAGGGCAGGAACAGATGAAAGTCCCCATGGAGCACACTTTCGTGGACCTTGGTAGATGGAATATTATGATATCCGAGATAACTGCCGGACGATAAAAATGCGCAAATAAAGACGAGCGACCACAAATATCAAGACTCGCTTGGCACCTTCATACCCTGTCGAAGCTGTACAGAGCCAGAGAACAGGAAGATCCAGTGGGAAGATGCATATCAGCCGACGGAAAGGCTCCCAATAGCCATGCTTCGTCGTGGTATCATGTTAAAACAAATCAAGCATATCCTCTGTCTCGTCATTCGGAGTTGGAGGGGAGTGTGCATGGAGATGGAATGTAGGCGAGTCGAAAATGTTTATTTTTGTTTCAATAAACATTTATTGCAAGGCTATTGCTTCACTCTGTCGTTGTCTTATTAGAATTTTATTAGCTCCACACCCTTAGAACGTCTTTTGTCTCCTCCCGTACAGATATCTTTCTCTTTCTGCCTCGCTATTTCCCCAATATTCCAAACACTCTATTCCTCCAACCCCTTGGCTCTCTAGTCTATGCTGTTTTCACATATCGTGAGCGGATAGAGTGCCGGGATATTTCCTTTTAGTTTCCCATTCTGCTTCCTTCCCGTGTTTACGACTGCTCTGGTAATAAACGTGCGTCATCCTTCAATCTCTCGTAGATGAAAACACATATTCCACTCTGTACTATTTCAAATTCAGATGAACATCCAACGACACCAACCAACCACCTCCACACTTTTTTTATCCCGATACTAAGACTCTACCAGACCGGGTAACAAGAAATCCGAGTCTCGATTATGAGTACATGCGCGTGCATACGTGTTTGCGTACGCCGATACTTTCTGGATCGAGCACGTATTGTGAAACTGACATTATGAATTATCCTCCCCCGCGGAAAAGTACATTTGGAACATTACTGTGAGCAGCGTTGTTTCTCTATGTTATTGCTTTTTTTTATTACTTTATTTTGAATCCCCCCCTACCCTTTTTTTTTTTTTTTTTTTTTTTTTTTTTTTTTTTTTTTTTTGTAAAAGCCCATATTCTAAATTGTTTGTTCAGAGCCACAGGTAAGCACAGTAGTCCCATACCTGTTTATGTACTCCCACTTATCTCTACGTATTGTATGTGGTTCTTGTCTTCGAAATGTCTAACGCGACAAAACATGAGAACTCGAGAGTAGGTAAAATCTCTGGGAATCAAAACTACGTGAAATAAAAATAAAACGAACGTGCCGTATCTGCTCACCCACTGTTTCTTTTCTCTAAATTTATTTTGTGCCCACTCTATTTGCTTTAGCCGGAAGCAATATGGCCAAGGTTCGATCTCTTCCGTTTCCACCCTCATCTTGCTCTCTTACTCCTCATACTATGGTATATTTCGGGATTTTGTTTCCTCAACAAGCGAGCAATCGGCAAGAAATGAAAGAGGAAGGTGAAATACCATGATAAAGTATCGTTGTTCCGGGAACACGGGACAAAAAGGACTCCGAACTTGAGATACACAAGTCGACGAAGTACGGAATCAATAAAGACAAATGGAAATACTACTATTTGAAGTTTATCCAAACTTCGTTTCGATGTCCCGCGACTAAGGAGACTTGTATAGATCAACAGTAGTCTAGATCGAAGACTCGCTAACAAAGAGTCGGTCGTCGTATATACACGAAATAAAATAGAGAACAATAGAGTTCTTAGACCGATTTAATACGTCGTCAAAAAATAGCCTGCCGTGATTTCGCTCGTTTGGGCAAGCTGTGCTTCGCTTCCCAGGGCCGCCGGTCTCGGATAGACTTACGTTGCCTGCGCATATTTTCGAGCAGGACGGCTCAACGTCGTTGCGTTGTCTATTGTCTGCCAAGACAATTCCAAATAATTATTCACCAAAAGTGAACTCTTGAATTGTCTGATTTCACTGTTGTAACCGTTCATTTGAACAAGCTTCACAGTGATAAGCGACATGAAGCCATGGGATGAAATGAAGGAACAGGGGAAACGCGAATCAGGACGATACAGTTGGCGGGTCAGAGAAATGATGAGTTTATTGTCTGTCCAAGAAACGACGATGACTCAAAATTACTTGTAGCCTCGTGGGTATCAGTAGATGTCTGATATCTCATTGGCAAGCAGTGAGAGTTTTATCCTGCTTCTCTTTTGAATTCTGTAGGAGTTTGTTCAAAATAGGAAAAAAATTCTCTTCATAAAGAAGCGGCGGCAAGGATCAGTAAGGTCACGACCATTGAGTTTACTCAAACTCTAAATCGTAAGAACCAAGATCTAATAAAGACCGGACGAGATCTTGGTGTAGGGTGGAAGCGTGGATGGCCTAAACCTTCCCCTCGAAAGATCGTGTCGATCTTCAATCAACAGCCTTGCTATCGAGGGTTGAAGACAACGTTGCGCTTGCATCGGCCCGAAAAAGTATTGAGTCGGCACCTTTTTCGTGAGGCTTTATTGAATCCAGACACTCCTCGGAGAACACCTTCTCATAGTTCCTGCTGGTTTAGACTTCTAAAATACGGAACCATGGAGTTTCCTGTCCCCCATATTTCCCAGGAAGTGAATTGTGGGAGGAAAACATCATCGTATGGGTGGCAGTGTTTTGATTTTATCCGGCCAGCCGTTATCATGTTTTCACGCAAAAGATCCTCAGCACGGGAGACTGTTGTTGAATGGTGTATCGACTGCCGGCAGTGAGGGGCATCAACTGTGATTACTTCGGCGTCGGCAATTGAAACTCTCACGATAGGGATGTGTGTTGGAATGAAAGCCCACTTCGGCAAGGGAAAAGGCTTTCTTGTGTTTGGAGTTGGAGGCTATCGATCGTATGAGTTGTGGCTGTGTGGCGGTGCAGTTTCCAATTCTTTGATTCTGATATATCGTAGTCGTAACATCGGTCGTTTATACGCCGTTTGCTCTAGCCATGAGCTTCTGACGATATACCGAAGTAATGCGATAGACGTTGGTGATAGCGGGCCGTTGTTGTTCTCTCTTGCTTCGATGTGGAGCTCATGCCACAGCTCTCTTGCGGTCGCCTTGGCATACGACCCCCCTTATTTGATCCTCCTTTCCTTCCTCTTATCACTGATCGTAGGCTGATGCTGGGCTGACATGTTGACAGCTGCCGGAAGACGCTTCGGTAAGATAAGGTGGTGTTGTGTCGTGGTGATGTTGTGTCGTTGGGTGTTGCTCATGTAAAACTATACATGGTCAACTAATTGCTGTATGAGTGCACATTGTCCATTCGTTGTTCTTTAGCGGAGTGAAGGTGTGATGTTGGCCGAGGGAAGTCGTTGATCAACCGAGCATTTCGGAAAGGAAGGACAGGCACCAGATTCTTATATCTTGCTGTTGGAATGTTGCTTCGGACTCGACGAAGAGTATCTTTGTGGACGTTATTTATTGCGGTCGCGAACGAATACTTGTTCTCGGAGGTCGGGATTATGGAGACTTGGCAGGCACACTCTTTTCGATATGTCCCCGTTGTCGAGGAGGAGCATTTGCGGTTAAGGTGCACGTTGCAGGCTCACAACAGACCCATATAGAAACAACAAGGCAGAAATAAAAGGAGAACAAATAATTTTGTGCCTTTGAAAAAGCCGTCGAAAGACGGACGAAGGCCCTTGTTTAAATGTTTTCTGTTGTCCTCACAAGTCGACGGACTGCGGACATCGTTTCTAAACAAATTTGAGCAAAAAAGAAGCAAATTGAAGTCCGCCATCGTTCGGATCTAGTGGTACGGTGCAACCAACAAGCAAAAAAAACGATAGCTATAGGTTGATACCGTCTCTATAACCATGTCAACTCAGGATTTACCGCGAATGTTCGGGGCCAGGAGCGATTTCTTCGGTGCCGAACAATACTGTGGACGGTTTGGAGGCTGCAACAAGGACCGGGTCCAGGCCATTCTATACCAACGGGTTCCGAGCGTCATAATAAAGTGGACGAAGAAGTACTGACGTGGTTGGTGAAGACTTTTACAAAATTTAGTTTTAGATATGGACCGCTGAAGACATCGGTTGGCGATATTGTTCCACGAATGTTGGCTTCTTGCTTAACGAGTCTATGTGTACGATCCGTATCTAGCAGCGCATATATATTGTGACGACTCCGTTGCGTGTGTCGGCCTTTGTTAACCGCACTTACACTAGGTTTATCTATTCAGATTTCGATGCAGAGAACGAATGACAGGAGCAGTGCTGACTTAGACGAAGTGTGAAAGAATTGATTGCTTTGGATTTCGGTGCCGAAAAGTAAAAAGGTGATGGAGAAGTGCGGTTTCGTAGTCCGGATGTGCAACCAACAACCTGGCACTGAGTCGAAGGGGCAACAA